TGTTGGCGGAATAAAGACCGAGACAGTGGACTAAAGGGAGGCTTTAATTAGAAAATGAAGCCAGAAGGGCTTTGAAGGCGAGACTAAGGAGCTTGGGCTTTTAGCCGCTCAGTGGACACAAAGCCATATATTATGCGATATATACTTAAGAGCAGCAACGCCTCCTACGGTAGTTACTGTCCTTGGGTAGTCGGCCTGCCCATCCTGCCCCAGTTTCGGTCCAACCCGAGGCGGCGGCCTAGAAGCTTGACGGACACTGCCGATCCTCCGTGGTCTTCCAGGTACCAGTGCCCCGCCCACTCTAGGTCTGCCAAGAAAACGGCTCGTGCCCCAGGTGGAGCCGTTTGCGGCGCGAGAGCACCTGGGCCCGCGGCGGTGCGGCGGCTATGGGCGGGGCCAGGGGCCGGCTGCCATGGGCGGGGCCAGGGGCCGGCTGCCGGGTCTCGCGGAGGAAGCGCGCCGCGCGGCTTGACCCCGGCGGCGTTCCGTACGGTCGCGAATCCGCCGGCGGGAATATGGCGGCCGCTGCCGGGCCAGTAACGGAGAAAGTTTCCGATGAGACTGGCCCGTGCTAGTGCGTGTGGCGTGGGGCCCTCGACTCCCCTGGAGTGCCGTGTCTCCGCTCCGAATCGCAGGCTCAACCTCACGGGCCCTTCCTTTCCCCTGCTGGCCCAAGGGCCGACTCCGAGGGCTGAGAGAGCATTCGTAGCAGCGGCCGAGTCCGGGACAAGGGGTCACAGGCGGGGCGGCGAGACCCAGGCGCGGACAGCGCTCAGGGCTCGGCGTGGTGCGGACCCCGAGCTCCGCCCGACCGGCCTCGCGGGAAGGAGGTAGGGATACCTGCCTCGGGAGAAGTTGATGGTGCGGGGTGGAGGATGGAAGGCAAGGCGCCTCTCCGTATCCCCCAGCGGTTCCCCACTCAGCTGGGTGCCCACTTGTGGTCCCCAACAGCCGGGCTGCTTCTAAGGCCTCCTCCTAGAAGGAGGCAGAATGGAAGAAGAATTCCTATTGCTGCCGTATTGCTGAGGGCTTTAATATTCGAGGTGCCTTTCTCCTCGTGTGGGATGGGTCCAAAGAGTTGTTTTCATGAATTCATAGAACCGAAGCACTGGAATTCCCCGACCCTGGCTGCTCTGTAGATTGTTTCAGCTTTTGACACTTCCCCTAGACTGGACGTAAGTAGTTTCTGAGTCAGAAGACTATGTATGTGATAGTGTTTCTTGGGCTCAGTGAACCATTACCTAGAAGGACGTAAGGGAGAACTTGTTGGTTTGGAGGAATTTGGAGGAGTTAAGTGAAGGCTGGAGTAAGGCTGAGATTCGAGAAACAAACCAAACATTCATGGTATCTCCCTTAGCTCTATGACTTCGTAGTTGTGGGTTATTAGACAACTTGTTTATTCTCTTTGTATATTAATATGCGTCCTATAACTGATTGACGTTATTAAATATAGTTACTTCTGTATCATTCTTCATTTCTTCAGGTATTTGTTGAATATCTACTTGGAGTCAAACTTTCTGCTAAACCTAGGGTGTACAGTTTTGAAGACAAACTTTCAGGGACCTTGTGATCTAGTGGGGAATGCAGATATTAAACAGTTGATGATCAATATTTTTCCTATTATACAGAAAATACGTGGATCATATAAATGAGTCAAGGTGATTGCCCTAAGAAATGACTTAAGCTGAGATCTGAAGAGTAGGAGTGAGCCAGGTGTGAGGACCTATGGTGGGGTCTGGAGGAGAGAAAGGAGTACACCTGGAGAGGGAATAGCATTAGTGTAGTTCAGAATTGAAAGATCCGTGTGGCTAGAATACAAAGAATGGTAAGAGATGAGGCGGGAGAGTTACTCACATCCAGTGAGGAAAGCCTCTTAAGGCATTGTAAGGAGTTTGGACTTTATTGCTTAGAGTGATGGGAAGCCTTTGGAGGCTTTTACATAACAGAATGATGTGACAAGTATTGGCTTTAAAAAGTATACTTCTTGGAGAAGGGCAAGAGTGGATACAGGGAGACATTCAGCCATGAGATGATGGTGACCAAAATTGGGGTTGTGATCTTGAGGATGGAAAGAAGTAGAAACATTTAAGAAGTGTCTAAGAAGAAGAGTGGGCAGAACTTGGTGACCATTAAATATAGGTGGTGAAAGAGAGGAGGGTGAGAATAGTATATAGGATGCTATAAAACAGACCTGACAATTATTAACTTTTCCTGTATTCAGTGGACTCTTCTGTGCTCCTTTTTTATCTGCCTCTCAAGTAATTCCCACTGAATCATTTGTTCTGGCAGACCCAGTGAAAAGGATTTCACTGCTTTGTTGTTTTACTCTCTTGATTCAGCATGTTTGTCTTTTAAAGAAGTTCAAATGGGGGAAAACTTCCGTGAATTAGCCATTTAAAAAAATAACATTCTGCCATGTTGATTTTGGCCCATAACAGGGTAACTGCATATATTCCATGCTATGAATGTGCTATACTTTATTATTTACGTGTTTTCCTTTACTTTTTTTTCTAAACGTTCACCTCAGTGCAGGACAGAGCTAGTGGTTTCATTTCTGTCAGGTAGGTTAATATATATTAATACACATTTAAGTGTATAGTGAGAGAAGGGCCTAGGCTTGGGTTTGAACATCCAAAGGATAGATTCAGAATGAAGAACCTGGAAGGAGACAGGAGAGATCAGTGAGTTAGGAAGAAATTCTGAAGACTGGTCTTTGGAAGCTAAAGGAAGGGCAGGTTTCAGAAGGTGAAGGGAGTAAAAAATGTCAAAGGTTGTTTGATGAATGTACAAGATAATGAGTGTAAAGTACTTACGGGATTTAGGAATTTAGGTTATTTTAGAACTTGGCAGAGCAGTTTGTTGTTGTGTAGTGGAAACCGTGGTTTAGTTGTGTGAGAAGTAAAGCAATCAAATACTGGCTGTCGAGAGGACAGATGACTGAACTTGGAGGAGGAGATAGGGATTATTGAGTTTTAGTTTGTTTCTGTGTGTGTGTGTGTGTGTGTGTAGGTATCATTTTTTAAAAGAGCTTTGCAAATGTTTAAGCACCAGTGGATAAGAGAAGAGTAGTAGGAGTTTGAAGAGAGGAGAGTGTGTGAAGTTCTGGAAGAGACCATGAGGAAGAGTCACATGTACAGCTAAAAGATGTAGCCTTCGATCGGGCAGAGAGCCTTCTTTTATTAAATCAGGAGATGGTAGATATAGGTGAGTTTGTGGTGTTGGAAACTCAGGTAAGCTCCCTTTTGATGACTTCATTGGAGACAAAGTCAGCTGGTAAGAATTTGGTCAGAAGTGGATGTCAGAGATTTGAGAATAGGGAAGAGAGGCTTGCCTAGCCCCAGAGATTGAGTTTGACTAGAGAAACACAGAAGTATGTCTCATGAGTTGCTTTGCAACCATTTAGTCTGGTGTGTGCTTTTTTTTTTCCTCCAACAGTGTTCAGTCATCTGAACCCAGACTGTACCATCAACCCTTAGAGGGCGTGTATTCCAGCCTGTTTGTTGAATGATCATATAGCAGGTATAAGTGATGTTTTTAAAAATGTAGTGCATTCTAGATAGTGTCAGTTTCTCATACTTAAGTAAAAAGATGAAACCCAAATATACCAGAGGAAGATATTTTCTGTAGTGGTGTGTGGTATCTTAAGGAATGATTGAAAATCATAATTCTTAATTAAATAAACTTAGCTGTAAAAAATATACTTGTTGAACTTGTAAGTTAGTAATAGTACTTTGAACCTCCCAGAGACCCTAAAGTTGTCACCCAATGTCATTCTTCTGCAGTCGTACGGGTAATTCAGGGTTAATTCAGGTTATCTCATATTTCTCTTGGCTCTTTTAGTGTCCTGCTATTAGAAAGCAGAAATAAGCTGATTGCAAAGTAGTTACTTTTGAGTTTTTAATCTTGTTGAGTTCTCAGTGGATATTCAGTGTGACTATAAACCTTTGCATGTATCATCTTCTGAAATAGCATGCTAGAAAATTTGAAGAATTATCTAGTAGATAGTTAAATCATTTTGTTTGATGGTGTCATGTTTGAAGTGCAATCCGAAGGGGTCCTTAAGATTGAAATAATTATCTGAGTCCTTTAACAAATAATTGTTGTGGTAAGTTTATAAAAGTAAAATCATTGTTTTTAAAGTTTACTTTACGATAAATATTGGTCAGCATTTCAGTTTTACAGTTTTGACTAGAAAGGTCCAGAATTGGTTTGCTACAGAGATTGTATGTTTGATCATCAAGGTAACTTAATGGAGGGAAAAGTACAGGGAGAATGAAGGATCAACTTTAGTGACTGAGTAATTTTAATACAGTTAAACTGCTAATAAGTTTATTAGTGAAACAGTGTTGAGATTGATTTTATAGCATTTTAGAAGTAACTGGTAAAAAGATGTGGAGGATTTTAGGCAGGTGGTAATGGTTGCTATTATTGGATACTGGTGCTTTTCAAATTAGAGGTAATAATGACATCTCTCATTTTGTTTGAGTTGACTAGCTTTCCACTATTCCAGACCCATCTGCTATATTTAAGCTGAGTTGAATATCTCATCATTGCACGTTGTTGAAAAACTGGATATTGGAATAAAAATGGGTTAGGTGAATTCCTTACCATCTCTGGAAAAATTTTTGTTGATGGCGACCTAGTCATACAGTCCTAACATAGGATAAGTAGAACAAATCTCCAGTTTTGTTTGGATAAACTGAAGAGTTTTTAAGCCAGAGACAGTTACCATTTAGATACACGCAAGTCAGATTTTAAACTGGGTATCCAAACAAAGTTTATTTCTCACTTAGTCTTTATTTTTTTATAAGAAAGATGTATGTGAAAGGTAAATTACATAAAATTAACAGTGAAATATTTTTTCTTCTTTTTAGATCACTGTAAACAAATTCCACCAGAGAAAGTGCTGAAATAGGAGTTACAGATACATTGGATTTGCTGGATGAAATACAAGCAGTTAATTTTCATAACGTGGGGAGAAAGCCCAGATTGACAGATTAATGTGTAAATCACTGCGTTACTGCTTTAGTCATTGTCTCTATTTAGCAATGACAAGACTGGAAGAAGTAAACAGAGAAGTGAACATGCATTCTTCAGTGCGTTACCTTGGCTATTTAGCCAGAATCAATTTATTGGTTGCTATATGCTTAGGTCTTTATGTAAGATGGGAAAAAACAGCAAATTCCTTAATTTTGGTCATTTTTATTCTTGGTCTTTTTGTTCTCGGAATTGCCAGCATACTCTATTATTATTTTTCAATGGAAGCAGCAAGTTTAAGTCTCTCCAATCTTTGGTTTGGATTCTTGCTTGGCCTCCTGTGTTTTCTTGATAATTCATCCTTTAAAAATGATGTCAAAGAAGAATCAACCAAATATTTGCTTCTAACTTCCATAGTATTAAGGATACTATGCTCTTTGGTGGAGAGAATTTCTGGTTACGTCCGTCATCGGCCCACCTTACTAGCCACAGTTGAATTTCTGGAGCTTGTTGGGTTTGCCATCGCCAGCACAACTATGCTGGTGGAAAAGTCTCTGAGTGTCATTTTACTTGTTGTGGCTTTGGCCATGCTGATTATCGACCTGAGAATGAAGTCTTTTCTAGCTATTCCAAACTTAGTTATTTTTGCAGTCTTGCTGTTTTTCTCCTCATTGGAAACTCCCCAAAATCCAGTTGCCTTTGCGTGTTTTTTTATTTGCCTGATAACCGATCCTTTCCTTGACATTTATTTTAGTGGACTTTCAGTGACTGAAAGGTGGAAACCCTTTTTGTACCGTGGAAGAATTTGCAGAAGACTTTCAGTTGTTTTCACTGGGATGATCGAGCTTACATTTTTCATTCTTTCAGCATTTAAACTTAGAGACACTCATCTCTGGTATTTTGTAATACCAGGCTTTTCCATTTTTGGAATTTTCTGGATGATTTGCCATATTATTTTTCTTTTAACTCTTTGGGGATTCCATACCAAATTAAATGACTGCCATAAGGTGTGTTTTACCCACAGAGTAGATAACAATAGCCTTGACAGAATCATGGCATCCAAAGGGATGCGTCATTTTTGCTTAATTTCAGAGCAGTTAGTTTTTTTCAGTCTTCTTGCAACAGCAATTTTGGGAGCAGTTTCCTGGCAGGTAAGCTTACAGTTTGTTTATTATGTCAATGCCTGTGATATGTGATTAAATGTTTGCTTCAAGAGTTGAATTATTAGAACCAAAAGGTCAAGCTCATAATTTCAGAAGTAGATGTCAAGGGTGGGGCACTTATTTAGTTTTCTTTCTGGAATTGAGTACTGAATGAATATTGACAGTATAATTTCATTTGCTTTCTAGCAAGAGGTATGAAAATATTAGGAATACTCAGCATGTGATATGCCTCCTGTCTTCTGACTGTTGATTAATGAAACACTTCATGGGTTAAAGATTCTTAGAATATTAACATTTGAAGCATGTTTAGAGATTGTTCTTTAATTTTTTCACTTTACACATGAGGAAACCAAAAGTCAGAAAACATATCCAGAGTCACTGGTACTAGCCAGAATGAGGTTGCCTAGCTTCTGTCTGGCCCATTGGTCTCCTCATTTCCCTAAAGGTTTTATATAGAAGTTGATTAGATATGTAATAACATGTCATTCTTTTTTTTTAAAGGATTTTTTTATTTATCTGGCTGCACTGGATCTTAGTTGTGGCATGTTGGATCTTCAGTCTTCGTTGAGACATGCAGAATCTTTAGTTGTGGTCTTTGGACTCTTAGTTGTGGCATGTGGGATCTAGTTTTTTGACCAGGGATCGAACCCAGGCTGCCTGCATTGGGAGGGAGCACAGAGCCTCAGTCCCTGAACCACCAGGGAAGTCCCCATGTCAAATTCTTAACTTCAGATTAGCGCCTCTCCTAAGAAAGGAAAAATTAGTTTTACAATACATTTGCCTACAATATGTTTAAAAAAAATCTTTTGTAGACAGAGACATTCAAATTAAATGGTTGGAGTTTATATCTGTAGTTTATATCAGCCTTCTGTTCTCTGAACATTTATTGACTGTTCTATATAACAGGTCACTGGAGAAGGAAATGGCAACCTACTCCAGTATTCTTGCCTGGAAAATCCCATAGCATACTGAGGCTGAAGATCTCAAGATGAATGAAAATTTCCTGTCATTAAAGAAGGCACAGTCTCTAATGGGGGGCAGAAGAGGCAGGCATGTAAACCAGTAATTATTATAGCACTTTGAATAATACTATAATTTGAGTATATCAGGTTGGGATGTAGGGCAAAAATGAAGGTGAATTTTGCTTGGTGCAGTTCTCTGGTTTGCACTAGTTAGTTGCAACGGAGTGATTTCTAGATACGAGTGTTTGAAGAGAAGATGTGGAGACTTGGCTGGGCACAGTGCATTTTATTAGTCTTTGCGGGCTAGGGCACAGAACCTGTGTGGGAGTCAATCAGATGATTTAAAAAACAAACAAAAAACTATTTGCCAGTGCTCAGGACTATCAGAACGATGCTGATGAGTGAGAACTCTACCAAGAGTTCTCCTTTCACTTCCTCTTCTCTGTCCTTCCTCCTTGCTCCTTTTCCCTACTTTTTTTTCATTTCCAAATCAGCCTCATTCGTTTTTGACACCTTTCCAGATCATCAAATCCTGTTAAGCAAATATTTTGTAAGTCACTAAATTCTTCTTTTCTTATACAAGTGGTCTTAAACATGGTATGTGTACTACTGGAGGTATATAGAAGCTTTCCATTGAGTATGTCAGCAAAGATAATTTTAAGGCAATCAGTTTCCAAATTCTTACCTTCCATTCTCCTTTCTTAAAGTTGATCTACTTGAGAATGCCCCTCAATGTAGATGTGGAGTGGTTACTTATTGTGGTTTTAATTTCGATTTAATCAAATTTAAATGCATTTAAACCGTCTCTAATGACTGATGATGTTGAGTATCTTTTAATGTGTGTGTTAGTCATTCATTTACCTTTGCTGACATATCTGTTTAAATCTTTTTTTGATCTAAGTTGGGTTTTGTGTCTTATGATTAAATTTTAAGGGTTTTTAAAATATTCTTACTAGAAGCCTTTTATCAGGTATATGATTTGGAAATGGGTCGGGAAGATCCCTGAAGAAGGAAATGGCACCCCACTCCAGTACTCTTGCCTGGAAAATCCCATGGACAGAGGAGCCTGGTGGGCTATAGTCCATGGGGTCGCAGAGTCGGACACGACTGAATGACTTCACTTTCACTTTTCTCCTCCTATGTGGCTTACCTCTTTTTAGAAAATTTTTATTAATTTATTTCTTTTCTATTTGGCTGCAATGGGTCTTTGTTACTTTGTCTTTATTGCTTTGCATGGACTTTCTCAGTTGTGGTGAGTGGGGGCCACCCTTCATTGTGGTGCTTGGGCCTCTCATTTCGGTGGCCTGTCTTACTGCAGAGCGCAGGCTCTAGGCACGCAGGCTCAGTAGCTGGGGCTCGTGGGCTCCAGTGCACAGGCTCTAGGCACGCAGGCTCAGTAGCTGGGGCTCGTGGGCTCCGGAGCACAGGCTCAGCAACTGTGGTTCTTGGGCTCAGCTGCCCCATGCCATGCGGGATCCTCCCGATCAGGGATTGAGCCTGTGTCCTCTGCAGTGACTCTCAGGTGGATTCTTAGCCAGTGGGCCACCAGGGAGGCCTTTTTTTCTTTTTTTAAATGATATCTTTTGAAGAGTACAAACTTCTAATTTTTTGAATCCAATTTGTCAACTTTTTCTTTTATGTACTGCAGTTTTGGGATCATATCTAAGGAAATGTTACTCAGGCCTGGGTCACAAAGATTTTTCTCCTATATTTTCTTTAGTTTTATCATTTTAGCTTTTACATTTAGGTTGTATGCTCCATTTTGAGTTAAGCTTTGTTATTGTATGAGGTAAGGAATTTTTTTTTCTTTTTTTTTAATTTATTTATTATTTTACTTTACAATATTGTATTGGTTTTGCCATACACTGAGTTGAATCCTCCATGGGTGTACGTGTGTTCCCCATCATGAATCCCTCCCACCTCCCTCCCCATCCCATCCCTCTGTGGCTTTGTAATTGTTCCAGCACCATTTGCTGAAAAGACTATCCTTTCTCTCCTTGAATTGCCTTGGCACCTTTGTCCAAAAACAGTTTCTGAGCTCTCTTTGTTCCATTGTTCTATATATCTTATACTTAAAGCAGTACTATTCTGTCTCACAAGATATTTTCTAATTTTCCTTGAAATTTCTTCTTTGATCTTTGTTGAGGTTAAAAGTTTGTTGTGTGATACTGTAATCTTTGGGGGATTTCCCACATTTTTTCTTTTCAGTTCAGTTCAGTCGCTCAGTCGTACCCGACTCTTTGCAACCCCGTGAACCACAGCACACCAGGCCTTCCTGTCCATCACCAACTCCCAGATTCCACCCAAACCCATGTCCATTGAGTCGGTGATGCCATCCAACCATCTTATCCTCTGTCATCCCCTTCTCCTTCTGCCGTCAATCTTTCCCAGCATCAGGGTCTTTTCAAATGAGTCAGCTGTTCGTATCAGGTGGCCAAAGTATTGAAGTTTCAGCTTTAACATCAGTCCTTCCAGTGAACACCCAGGACTGATTTTTTCTATTATTGATTTCTAATATAAGTTCAGGTGACTGGAGAACATAGTTTCTATGATTTTAGTGTTTTGCTAAAACTTGTTTTGTAGTCTATCATGTGTTATATTCTGGAAAATGTGTGTGTGCTTAGTTGCTAAGTTAGGTCTGACTCTTGGAACCCCATGGACTGTAGCCCACCCTGTTCGTGTGTCCTTGGGAATTTCCCAGGCAAGAATACTTGAGTGGGGTTGCCCTTTCCTTCTCCAGGGGCTCTTCCCAGCCCAGAAATCAAACCCGCATCTCCTTTGTCTCCTGCATTGCAGGCAGATTCTTTACCCGCTGAGCCATCAGGGAAGCGCCCTTCTGGAGAATACATCATGTTTAATTAAGAAGAATAAGAGTAAGTTGCTGCTGTTGTTGATTGAAGCATTCTATAAATATCAGCTAGGTTAAGTTGGTTGGTGGTGGTGGTCATGTATTTATGTCTTTGCTGATTTTCTGTTTCATTCTGAGAGAGAGATACTGAAAAATCTCTGTTAAATTACTAGATTGTGTGTTTCTCAATTTTGTCATTTTCTTGCCTTAGGTATTTTGGGGCTCTTGTTTTTTCGAGGTGTATATACATCTTTAATTATACTTTCTTATGTGTTGACCTTTTTATCTTCATGGTAAGCAGCATAGTTGAATAGTTAAAAAAGAGACCTAATAGCTTGCAAAATGTAACATTACCAATTTACCAACTCTTGTTTTAGGCCAGTGCTTCTCAAACTTTGATATACATAGGAATCATATGGAGATCTTGTTAAAATTCTAAAGACTAGAATTAAGTAATTTGGGAGGAGAGCCTAAAACTCTGCAGACCATCTGAAAATCTTAAAAGTGATGCAGATAGAAGTAAACCCATTGAGTAGCAAGGTATTAATTTAGCTATTCAAGACTAGTATGTATCTATCAAAATTGGTATTTATTCCTTTTGGCTGTGCTGGGTCTTACTTGCTATGCATGGCCTTTCTCTAGTTGCTGCAAGCGGGGGCTACTCTCTAGTTGCCGTGCACTGGCTTCTCATTGTGGTGGCTTCTGTTGTTGCAGAGAATGGGTTCTAGGGCATGTGGGTTTCAGCAGTTACGGTGCGCTGGCTTAGTTGCCCTCTGGCATGTGGAATCCTCCCAGACAAGGGGTCGAAGTGGGTCTCCTGCACTGATGGGAGGACTCTCCACTACTGGACCACCAGGGAAGTCCTCTATCGGGTTTTGTACGCATTAGTTGCTATTTGGTAATTGTGTTTTTGATGCAGTTAACTTTTTAAAATTGAAGTATAGTTGATTTACAGTGTTGTTAGTTTCAGGTGTACTGCAGAGTTATTCAGTTTATACACACACACACACACACACACATAATCTTTTTCAGATTCTTTTCCTGTATAGGTTATTACAGAATTCTGACTATAGTTCCCTATGCTATATAGTAGGTCCTTGTTGTTTAACTTTTCTCTATACTGGTTTATGTATGTTGCTCCCAAATTCCTCACTGATCCCTCGCTCCCTCCCTCCCTT